CCGCTACATCCAGTACGGCAAGACATTTGGCGGTGGGGTCAGCAAGCTGCTGTCGAAGTTCATCAAAGAGCATGGAGGTGACAACAGGACGGTGGTGGTTGAAGGGATTGACGCGGAGGGGCGGCAGACATCACACAAGTTCGAGCTGAGCGAGACATCGATCAAGAAACACAAGTTTGGGGGGACGCTTGCTGACTGTGAGAAGTTGTGCACGGGTTTCGCAAAGGAAGTCGTCGCGAGAATGAAGTACGGCATGTGGGACTAGCAGCAGTTGGGCAGCGCGAAGGTGTTTCAAGTTGAATCGTGGCCATCCAGAGACGACCAGCGCGATCTGAAGACACGCGAGTGGCTTGCGGCTAACGATGAGCTGTTTGGTGGATTGCTTCTAGGTGAGGTTAGATTTGACACGTGCAATTGATTTGATTTGGTGCTTACATGCATGTTACAGCCTCGCATTAACTGACAATCACCCCCAACTACTTCCACCGCCCCAAACCACCTCCCCGTCAGGATTCGATTTCAAGGCGGCGAAGAAGGAGCTGAGGAGCTTCTGCCACATCATGTCGCGCCATCACGCGGGGGAGGATTTCCACGAGGGCCTTCAAAACATGTTGAAGAGCCGTGATTGGCGGCGCAGCTATCTAAACCTCATGACACTCTGGCAGGCCCTCACTGTGCTGCCCCTGAGCACAGTAAAGTGTGAGAGGGGGTTCAGCTGCCAGAACATCATCAAGAGCTGGATGCGCACCTCCCTTTGCGACGCACGACTTGGCGACCTCATGACGCTGCACATGCTCAAGTACCCGCACGTCTGGCCTGGCGTGGAGGACACCTGGCGCAAGCAGAAAACTCGGCGGCCAGCGAAATCTGTTGCGCACGCGACACCAGTGGACCGGAAGGGGAAGCAGAAAGCCCCGGAGCCAAAGGAGGAAAGTGACCACGATGAACACCCTTGTGGCATGTCGGATGACGATGACTAAATTCTGTATTGAGTGTTTTGATTAAAAGTAATGATCAGGCTTGATTTATGTTGTACACTGATGCGACAGGGTTTTTTTTTTTTTTTTTTTTTTTAAATTAGCTTTACCCTGATGGAAAAGTTTTTTTACAAGGGGTCACACTGATAATAAGGGTTCTAAGCTTGGGGTACACTGATGACCAAGGTTGGTCAAAACGAAAAATTTGCCCTGATCCCGACTTCACACCGCAGCCGCCCGCAGGAGCAGAGGTGCAGGGTACAGCACGGATTTGGGTTCCAGCCTACCGCCCTCTTCGAGAGCTCACGACGTAGAGGGGCAGACAAAACAGCTAAGACGCTTCGGAGTTACTCACTTCCCTCTTCAGAGTTTCTCAGAGGCGCACGACGTAGTTAGTGCAGGTCACTTCGGAGCAGACAAAACGGGTAAGACGCTTAGTCGCACGTACTACTAGCCAGGGCTTGCAGCAGACGTAGAGGATTACATTCGCTCGTCCGACACGTGCCAGCGTACGAAATGCTCTCGCCAACACAAAACAAAACTTTTGCAGCCGATTCCACCGCCCGACTGTCTTTAGCAGGTAGTTACGACGGACTTCATCGTGTCATTACCGCGCACAGTTAGGGGTCACAACGCCATCTTTGTGGTAGTGAGTAATTTTTTTAGAGCAGCACTGTTCATCCCCATGCACCGCTAGGTCACAGCAGAGGAAGCCGCGGCGCTGTTCGTAGATAACGTAGTCCGACTGCACAGGGTCCCAGATTCCATCATTTCTGAACGCGACCTTAGATTCACTTCGAAGTTCTGGAAGCAGCTTTTCGCGCTATTTGGGACTCGCTTAGCCATGTCGTCTGCGTACCATCCAAAGATAGACGGACCCAAAATTTACAAGCCGCCACGCGGCACTCTAGTCATCTTGCATTACAATCCGTGTCCCACAAACTACTTTCCAAATTTCGCTCTTGCATACCATTTCTCAACCAATTCTCATTCAACTCTTCAATTACTCAGTACCTCCTCCGCATATTTCGCCAACTCTCTATTTCTCCAAAGTCTTCCGCCGTGTTTATGTCAGAGGTCCACTGGTGATCCCCGATTGATCCTAGGGAAGGGTTACAGGCACGTTGGCCTGGGGGGTTATGGGCGCACTCACCCGCTACATAAACAAGCCCTTTTATCCCAGTGGTTAGTGGCTGGGATTCTGACATGGTATCAGAGCGAA